GAGCTTGCCGTGCCTTGCTTCTGCGAGGCAGGGGCTGGGGGAGTGACTGAACTCAGCTCTGTGTAGAGCTGAAGCCCAAAGGCTTTGTTCAAAGCTCATTCAGAAATGACAGAAGTTCAATGTTCAAGTCTGATTTACAGACTCCCCCACCCCCCCAGAGACTAGTTCTGGAGCCCTCAGAGATATTCACCTACATTACCTGGGTGATGAAAGTGAGATAGATGATAGATAGGCAGATATGTAGGTGGCAGATAGACAGGCAGACAGACAGATATAGGTTTCTATTTACATATATGAACATGTATTGATTTTATGAAGTAGTGAGTTTCATAAGGACATTTCACTCAGGTATGTCATAAAGTGTGAGTGTACTTCCTCTACTAAACTCCATTTTCTACCTTGCCACTCCTGCTACTCTTCTTCTGTTTCTCAGATAGTCGTACCTCTATTTTCGTGTCATATATAAAATTTTTACATATATAATTTATCATTTCTATTTACATATACAGTTCATACATGATATGCATTAAATATAGGATCTGCACGTAAGAGAAAACATGGAGACTACGTGAATACATGCATTTGTCAAAACTCATCTGGTAGTACATACACTTAAGATCAAAGTTCCCCATTCCTCATCTGTCATATGGTGGCATAGGTGGGGGAGAGATGCCCTCCTACCACCACCACCACCCATAAATGCCTGAGGCAGGTGGAGAACTGGCCCTGAGGTCAGAAGCGTGGGAGAGCTGCCCTGCCCTGCCTGCCACCAGCTACAACACTCAGGAGCAGGCCCTGCACCTCACATGAGCAGCACAATAGAGTCAACCCCATTGGCAGAAGTGTGGGTGAACCAGCCCTAAAATTGTGAGCATGGGAGAGCTGTCACCATTACTTGCCTGTAACATGGTGGCATAGGTAGGAGAGAGGCATCTCTCCTCCCATCAATGCCTGAGGCAGATGAGAGAGCTGACCCTGAGGTCATAAGAACAGGAGAGCTGGCCCTGCCCCTTATCAGCTGCCACACTGGGGAGAGTGGTCCTTATGTCATGTCTGGACAGCACAGTAGAGCTGGCCCTGCAGGTGAAGGTGTGGGAGAGCTGACCCTGAAGACACAAAAGCAGAAGAATGGGCCCCGCCCCTTGTTCATGGCTGCAAGGGGTGAACTTGCCAGGGCCATGGAAGAGGGCCCACCTGTGGTGAGGACAAAGGAAAGCTGGTGGGCTGACCAACTCTGCAACTACCCAGGCCCAGAACCAGGGTTACATGTGACACATATCATCCACCCTATCTGTGATCTGTTGGAGCACATGCAGGACTGGTCCTGCAGACCCAAAGCTGCAGGATCTCCACAACACAGGGCAACAGCAGGATAACCAAGTGTAGGCCCAGCATCCATAGTATAGTGGAAACCGGGGGCCTCAAACCAGACCAATGAAGCTTTGCAATGAACATTTGCAAATGAAGATATATGGATAAAAGGGTTTACTGTGTGACTCACTGTGTCACACTGTAGCTTCCATGATGAGATTGATTTCTTTCCTTCTCTTTTTCTTCTTTTTCTTCTTCTCTTAAATTTTATTTTTTGGAGGGAGGTAGTCACAAGGGCAGAGTGAGGATATGAAGGAATGGGGAAATGAATGACATGGAGATGCAGGATGTGAAAGACACAAAAAATAAATAAAAAGGAGGAGGAAGAAAATGGTGCTGTGTTACAATCATGAGGACCAGAATTCAGGTCCCAGCAACTATGGAACAAGCCAGTGGTCTGCTGATGCCTATAACTCAAAAACAGGTGACAGGGCCAGATGTGGCTTAGCCATCACAGTTCACAAAGCTATGACCCAGCCCACGTACCCAGCCTTCAGAGAATGTAGCCAAGAGCCAAGCAAAGGGGTCCTAACTCCTGTCTATCACATGTATATGGACAAGCCAGGAGTCAGCCATCCAGGAACAAACACAAGCTTAGTTCTGTAACAAGGAGAAAAATGACAGTACCTCCTGGGTGCACAGAGGGCTCTACCAAAAGAAGATTAATAAGAAAAATGGAGAAAGAAGAAGCCCCAGAGAAGAACTCATCATCATTCATCTTTGCAGCCAGGTTTAGTATTTCAGCAATTTCAGTATTTAGTATTTATTCCTTAAGGCTCTTCGTGACTGCAAGAGTGAAGTTCAAAAACTTGAGTATAGCATGATTCATTTTGAAAGTGGTTAGCCAGACAGAATCTTCCTACTTGGATCTTTATATTCACTGGTCCTTGGCTACTTAAGGATAAGAAATCACTCACTTCTTACAAAGGATTTGACCCTAGAGCTGAAGGGGCAAGAAGGGCTGGGAACACATGGCCCCCCATCTAAAGAAGAATGAATATGATGTTGAAAATTAAGATCTCAAAGGGTTAATTTGAATGTTTATTCCCAGTTTATTAATGTTTGTACACAACCCCAGCACTGTGTAACTGAAGACATGGGCAAAGACAATTCTTCCCCCTGCTGACCGCTGTGATGTTCTGGGTAACCCTCTGCCCCCCAGCGCTGTACAGAGTGGGGGGTCTGTCATAGAGTCTGTAGGTGGTATGTTTGGAGAAGAAAATATTTTTTTCTTCTTAAGATGGTCTCGCTGTATAGCCCAGGCTGGCCTCAAACTCAAAATCCTCCTGAGTGCTTGGATTACATACATGTGCTACTTTATCCAACAAGAGTGTCCTCATCATTATGATACATTTGCAATGTACCCCTCAAGACTGACTTCCCTAGACCAACCTGCTGATGAGAAAGGGTACACTGGGCTGAGGGCAGAAGTCAGATCACCAGCCAGCCTGATATGTGGCCTGTCCTCCATGTTCCTGCTCTGAATTAGTAATGTTAACCTTCCGCCTTTGTACCTGATTCCCCTTCATTTGTCAAGAAGCCATTTGGTTGTTGGTAACTATTTCCCTGCCAGGGACCAGCAGATAGAGAACTCATAGAGATGGTTTCTGTAGGGAGATTAATGTGTTGATTAAAGAATTCAGCACTTAGCCAGGATAGAAGAAAAGTAAATGCATTTGGTCTGCAAAGAGAGCAACTGGCATGGCAGTTACAGAAGAACTACCTGCAAAGGACCATAGGCTGTGGAGAGACTCCATTCAGGAAGAGTCCTCATTTAGTTAGAATAAACCACTTTGCCTGCAACTTCCCAGCTTGTGATTCCAGTCACTGATTCTGGACAGTTAAGGTGGATCACTATGCATATAGTTCCCCTCTCCAGTCGAGTAATTCTTACCATGCAAATGAAACATCTCTGTTGGCTTAGGGTGTGTCTGATTTTTGATTGGCTTTGACATCTGTTATTTGATGTTTCGGTTTTGGTGGTTACTTTCTGAACCAGGTTTATAGTGGTCCCTTTCTGATGTCTTTATCACATCCCTCCCTCTACAATCCAGCTAATTAGTCCTCTAAAAGACTTTGCCTAGTGAGGTTTATTGTGTTCTTAGTCTCTCCAGAAAGTATTAGCTATTTAGAACATCTGGTGAAGGATGAACTGAAACGCTCATCTGTAGAGACCCTCACTGTTCCCACATGCACATCTCAGTGGGAAACATTGAAATAAGGGCAACATATAGCTTGGACCTTGTCAAGAGGCCCCAAGCCACTCCTATGCACAGTGTGCCTTCTTAGAAAATAGTTGACAGATATGGGTATAATCCTAGCACTTGGCAGACTGAGCCAAGAGGACTGTGAGTTTGAGGCCAGCTTGGTCCATATAGCAAAATTACTGTCTCAAGAAGAAAAACAAAAGAAAGAGAAGGAAAACAATGGAGAAATCAACCAGTCTCATCCCCTCTTTCCATAAGCACAGGCTGACTTTCATTCTCTTCAGGACCATGTGCATATGTTGGCTGGGGCTGGAATAGGGGTTAGGTGGAAGTGGGGAATGGAATCCTCGAACTTGAATCCACATGTCTACTTCTTCCAGTCCAGCAGACACAAAACCTATGGTGTTGGTTTTAGTAGGGGTCACAATGGAACAGAAGAAGCAGATTTTGAAATTATATTTCTCTAAATGGCCTGAACTTGGTAACAGGATTGGTTACAGGACCTCCAAGGACTAAATGGCTGATGGTCTATCTTAACCCAGACATAGAGAGTCTTTGTTAGACGTCCTGCATGAGAACCAGTGCTGATAGCTCATGAAAGGATGTGAGCTCCATCTCCACATAGTTCTTAGGCTCAGGCTTCTTTGAAGCTAGCCCTACTCTTCTGGGGGCCTCTTCTGACTGGGGCTGGAAGGGAGTTTCTTTTGAAGCAGGTGCTAATGGTGTCGTGGTACTGAGGGTAGTTTACAAATTCTTCAGCCTTAGTTCTCTTCAGCTGAAATGCAGAATCCACCAGGTTCTCTTTGACTCGATGATTTCATAGCAAGGCTTGCCATTGGAGTCTCTACACTTGGTATCTCAGTTGGCTTTGGCTTCACATATGTCAAGTAGAAGATACTTGATAGGTGCTGAGGAGGAGAAGCATTCTCTGTCAAGGTGACAGCCAGATTCAGCTAAACTCTCAACCTAATTGTAAATCTTTAGCTCAGTATCTCTCTCAAACAAACTTCATGTGAAAAAAAGACAAAAAAATAATAAAGCCAAATTTTTCCCATCATTTACATGATATAATTCACCCTAAAAGTAGTATGAGTCTGAGAAAGCTAAACCTCGATAGAGGTCAAGTCAATAGGTCAGTGTTATTGACAAGAATCCTAAGATGATAGAGATTCTAGGTTTGTGGGCTGGTGTGGCTGGTGCCCTGCCTCTGAAGTAAGGACAAGATTGGGCTAGGAACTGATAGAGACAGCTATGAGTGTCTGTGAAAGCACCTATCCCAAAGACAGGGCACAGCTGCTATGTCACTGTCTGCTTCCATCCTAGAGGAGAAACTTGGAATCACTGCTCCTCCAACTTGCTTGAAGGCCACACAAAGCAGGTGTCCAATTTGGAAGCCTGACCTTGTTCACTCCTTCCTTACAGATTCGGCTGAACAGCAGAGGACTCATCTACTCTGTCGGCTTGCTTCTGGCCTCTGTCTTTGTCACGGTAAGTTTGCAGCTTTGTTCCATTCTTGAGTGTTCATGTTCAATCCCTCCCCTTGCTTACTTCAGAGAGCAGATGGGTGTGGCCTCAATTATGTGGTGTCAGTAGACATCCAGATGTGCCATCTCCTGTCTATTTTTCTAAAGAAGGATCCTAGTAACCTGCTGGAATTCCTCTTCCCTTCCTATAAGGAGCTAATAACCTCTTCTTCAGAGCTGGTTGTACCTCATGTCAAACCTAAAATATATTTTTTCAAAAGCTAGAGAGGAGTGCTAGAAATATATCCCAGTAGTACTGTGCCAACATTCCTATATCCCTTCCTTTCCATCTTATTTCCTTGGGTACCCCAAATTCTCACAACTGCAAACCCACAGAACCTAAAGTTTTTGGATACCAGCACTGTGGTGGTTTGAATGAAAATGGCACCTAAAGACGCATATATTTGAACACTTGGTTCCCAGTTTGTGGCATTATTTAGGAAGGATTAGGAGGTGTGGCTGTGCTGGAAGATGTGTGACACTAGGGATGGGGCACTTGCTCAGGTTGGTCCTCAATCAGACAATAAAAAAGCAAAGAGTTGGGATGGGAAGAGGCTTAGTGGGTAAAGCGCTTTGTGTAAACATGGGGACCTGGGATGGGAAGATGGCTCAGTGGATAAAGTGCTCTGTGTGAGCATGTGGACCTGGGTTTAGATACCCCAGTATTCACATAAAAGCCAAGCATAGCAACATATGCCTGTGATCCTAGCACTATAAATAGGCAGTGAGTGAAGGTACAGGTAGAATCTAGGTGAGATATAAAAGACAGGATAAGTTGGGATCCCAGGAGGTCAGAGTGTTAGCTTTTAAGCATTAACAACCAACCTAAGCTCAGTGAGCCCTATCAGTGTGGCTGGACATTGCTTATCCAACTTTGATGGTGAGTTGTGTGTATCCAGCATGAGTAAATGGAGACATAATTTGAACTAAAGGATCCTGGATTAGCCAAGCTAGTACAACAAATGAACGAGAAACCAGAGACTTTTGCAAAAGTAATAACAGATAGAATGAAAAAAGAGTCGGGAAGGGAGGAGACAGACAAGATGGGTGAAGCCCATGGGACTCTGGTTGTCTTAATTACTTTTCTATTGCTAAGACAAAGCACCATGACCAAGGCAACTTATAACAGAAAGCATTTAATTGGGGGCTCAATGTTCCAGAGGGTTAGAGTGCCTGACCATCATCGTTGGGGAACATGGCAGCAGGCATGGCACGCAAGCATGGCACTAGAGTAGTAGCTGATACCTTGCATCTGACTCACAAGCACAAAACAGAAAGAAAGCCAAATACTGAGAATGGCATAGGCTTTTGAAACCTTAAAGCCCATCCCTAGTGTCACGCATCTTCCAGCACAGCCACACCTCCTAATCCTTCCTAAATAATGCCACAAACTGGGAACCAAGTGTTCAAATATATGCGTCTTTAGGTGCCATTTTCATTCAAGCCACCACAGTGCTGGTATCCAAAAACTTTAGGTTCTGTGGGTTTGTAGTTGTGAGAATTTGGGGTACCCAAGGAAATAAGATGGAAAGGAAGGAATGTAGGAATTTGTTTCTGCTACTGTTAATAACAAGGTCAATGCTGCAACACTGTTCCCTAGAACCTTCCCAAATGAAAGAGCTGCATATACACTACATGATAAAAAGTGAATGTATCACTTTAAGCACCTAAAGTGAAGCCAATGCCACCCAAAAGGGTGCATTTTGTATCTTATTTCATTTGAATGTAGCTAACAGGCACAGCAGGGAACTCAGTCACTGGTGGGTGACTGATGCAGAATACAAGAACTTACAGGTGTTGAAATCACTAAAAAGACAGTGAGAGTACAATGGTAGAGTGTGAGGATGAGCCAGGACATACAACTACAGAGATCGGGGGTAACCAGGGTAGCATGATTGACAACAACCAAGCCAGTTAGGAAATAAGCGATTTCACTCTTTGTTTTTAGGGGAGGAGAGAAATAATTATTTGGAAGCAGGAATTTGTGGACAACTTCCTCACCTCCATCCACAGCAATGGGAAGAGACTCATGGATAGTAGAGAATTGGCTAGGTGAAGCCAGTAGATCTAGAAGGTGTCCTTGAGCATTAGCCAGGGCTTGGGAAAAGATGGAAGAAGCCTATCTTGAGCACAGAGGACCATGGGGCTGGAGCCCAGGGATGATCCTAGACCACTCTGGGTTTGGGACCTGTCATTGTTATTTGTTAACAGGAGGACCACTGCCTACAGGTCCTGGTTTCCTCTCTTTTTTAACTTTAATATCCCTATTTTTCAAAGATGTTGTAGGCTCAGGATCCCCCTCAACAGCGCCCCCCCACCCCCAGATGCAACCCTCCAAGCACCCTCTGACCTATTCTTTCTGTTGCAGGTATTTGGTGTTCACCTGAACAAATGGCAGCTGGACAAGAAGCTGGGGTGTGGGTGCCTCTTCCTATACGGCGTGTTCCTCTGCTTCTCCATCATGACGGAGTTCAACGTGTTCACCTTTGTGAACTTGCCCATGTGTGGGGACTAATGATTGGCCAGGCCACCTGCCGAGGCCCAGGTCCTCTTTTCTGTGCAATACGAGACCCGGCCGCACCCGAGTCATGCGGCCCCTCAAGGGCCGGCCGCAGCGTCCGTCTCTCCCGTGCTGTCCACAGGCCTCTGCTCCTGTCCTGGTGGCCTAGGCTATCCCTGCCACCTCCTTTGCTCCAAGCTCCCTTGGTCCTACCTCCCACCCAGCCCCTCTCACCTGCCCAGCCCATTCCTGTCTCCCCTCTTCCATGTGAAGACCTGACATCTACATGAATTTCCAAGCTCCATTTTGAACAGTGACTGAGATTCTAGAACAAAACTGGCTGCTAACTGGCCCAAGCCAGGCACAACTTACTCCAATCCCTCCTCCTTTTTTAAGTTATTTCACAGAAGACACCCTAATTTATGACCAGAGACTTTGAGGAAACAGGAGAGGGTCCGCTGATGGCAGGAAGTGTCGGGATTATTTTGTTTCAGGGTGATTCCTAGGTTACTGAGTTTAGGGAATTGTTTTACTTGAGGGGGCTCTTCGTTTCTTTACTTTTCTTTAGAGACGAAGGAGTCACCTGTGTCTTCTCTCACTGGGCTCTGGCTTAATCGATGATCCACAGATTGTACTGTCTGCTGGGGGTGAATTCCAGGACTGTTGGGAATTTAACCATTAGTTGAGAAACCACTGAGCAAGACCACCAGGAATAAGTGCATGACATGACATTTTTCTGCCCAAGGACACCTCACTAAAGTCCTGAAGGCATCACTGGGGGTGGGGGGTATGGTGTTAGAGAAAGAAACCTGCTTCACACATGTTCACTATGACCATCTCTTTCTCACTAGATTCTTTCTAGTTTTTCAAGCAATAGTTCTAGCCTGCCTGAGGCCTTTGACAGGAAGGTCCTGGCTAACTGTCCATCTATAAGGCACCAGGCAGTCAACAACAGAAACTTCCCCAGCATTTGAGTCCTTGAAATGTGCTCTTGTTGCTTGGCATTTGTGGTGACAGGGGATGACCCAAGAGGCTATCGCTATTCTCTGGACAGAAGCTACAGACACTGGTTTCTTGGAAAATGGAGAGAAAGCACATTTTGCACAGATGTCGTCAATGAAGTCCCAATTTGCCACTTGGTATCGAGTACACTGGACCCTGACAGCTGACTCTTGAGCAAACATTCTTCCTTAAAGGATGCCACCACCAAGCTGGCCAGTTTCACTCCTCCCCTCCCGGAGGGATGGCCAGGGAGGGAGAAAGCAGAGAACTGATGCCTTGGAAACCACAGAATGTGTTAACTGCAGACTGTCTCAAGGGCACAAGTTATTGTGAACATTTCACCAACCACCGCTCAGCCGCCCTGCTAGATTTTCTAGAATGCTGAATTATTATGCAGAATAACTCCACCAAGTTGAGACACACCCATGCTTGTTACACTTGTATTTATTGAAACTGTGGATTCTTGCCCGCCCGTGCTGTCCCTTGTATTTACTTTAAGCACTGATCACTTATCACCCATTCGGTATGGTTTTCCCAATCCCTTGTACACATCCTGGTTTGAATCGTAAAAATAACCTGCTACAAATTGGTTGAGTGTTTCTGTCTGAGGTACCAGCCTAGGGGCAGCATCAACCGAGGACCAGGAGAGAAAATCACCAATTTGGGCTCTCAGAGCTAAGACACACTTATTGATTTGGTTGCACATTTTGCACTGGTTTATGGCGGTTGTTTTCTTGGACGGATGGTGTAAAATAAACTTCTCTGTTCTGTATCCTCCCTGAAACACAGTGTATTGCTTTCTTGGCTGGACTCGTACTATTTTATAGCAGGGAGAATGACAGCAACTGCTACAGAGCCAGGTATGTGTAGTCCCTACTCCTTCTGGCTGGACTCACCTGGAAGACTAATTAATATGGCTAGCAACAACTACTGACTGCAAATAATGGGTCCTGTTTAAGTTGAAGGGATTTGGGGTCTGTGTCATCAGAACTCTAGAATTCTGCTTGTAGCAGAGTACACATGACACTGTGTTAGGAATCCCTCCTTTCTGATGGACACAAAGTAAGATCATCAGAGTCCTGCTGTTGTTTGGCAGGGGCCAAGTTCTCCATCCTGACATTAGAAGGTTTCAATCATAAAAGTTAGGAGCTTTCTGAGTTGTCCATGGTATCTGGAATACCAGCCCTCAGGAGACTGAGGCAGGATGGTCTGAATTCAAGTGTTCAGCCTCAAAAAAGGAAGCAACATGCACCTTCTGCCAAGCCAATTCCTCAAAAGAGACAATAATATGCAATTACAATAAGCCATGTTCTGATCCAAAGGACATTCCAGATCTACCATTGTGCCTGAAAAGTCAACACAACTAACATTGGAACTAGAAGAAAAAAATGGGTACTGAGTCATAGTAACAACGTAACTGCTTAATATATATTCCCAGGGTGGGAATGTTGAAGGTGTTGATATCCTGGCATTACGCTGACCCTGTCCCCTGACAACTGGCAGGGTATGCACACCAGCATTCAGGCAGATACTTAGACAGCTCAAAGGGCCCTGTGTTGCGTGGCTACATCACACATTACGTGGCTGTGTACAGACTGTACGCTTGTGCAAGCTTTCCCTTTTAAGCGAGCGCCTCCCAGCTGATCACCCCCTTCTATCTCTGTCCCTGGGTGGCCAACACCTACCCCTCCCTTTGCTCCCTTTCCCCAATAAACTCCACTTGGGCTTTGTTGAGTTTTATGGTTCGTGTTTCATCTCCCACAGCTGCAGCAAACAAGAACAGAAGGTACCTGGCTTTGTTCTTTGTATTTACATCTTAAGATGTCTGACTACCATAGTTAGAATTGTATGTCTCACAAATACACCTTGGATGTGTGTTAGAGTATTGCTATACCTGTTGGTGTTGAGAAGCTTGTTCCTTACTTAGTGTTTCTATTGTCAACCAAAAGACATGATCAGGAGCTTGGCTTTATTTTATTTATCTCTTCTACAGTGCTAATGGTGGAACCCAGAGCACTGTATGTGGTAGGCTAGAACTCTCAGCTACATCCCCAGCCCGAAGAAGCTTAATTTTAAAACACACATTTTCTGTGAAATCTCTAGAAACTACAGTTCAGTTCCCAAAGTGAAACTCTCAGGATGAACCCCTGGCACGGTGACTCACACCTACAAGCCCAGCACTCAGGAAGCAATTGGGACAGCAGAGAGATCAAGGCTAGGCTGGACTACCTAGCAAGTTCCAGGTGAGCCTGAGCAACATAATGAAACCCTGACTCAAAACAAAAGGAAGAGAGGAAGAGACATAAACCTACCCCATCCACCAATCCATCCATCCTTCCCGGCTGGGCCACTTCCCCTGTGGCCATGAGGATTTTCAGCCATGAGGACTGCCTGTCTAGGAACTCTGGGGGCTTCCTTTCTGAAATGAGATTTAGCATACTTCTCCTTGCATTCTGGGCATGCATGATTATTTCTTGGGTTGTCCATTGAGAGTGTGGTTTCCAATGAGCCAGCTGTCCTGTAAGGCCATATTGTTGATCTTAACCATTTCCACGCTCCTGACGTTGTGGTACTTGAAAAGGGCTGGGGTGGTAGGAAAGGACTGAAAAAAAACCAAAACAACAACAACAAAAACTTCTCTTAATATCTCACACTTCACGTTGTCGACAGAGACCATTACTGCTGTGTTCTGACATGATTTGTCCTCTCCCAGGTGACAGTCTCACAGTCTTATAGCCTTTACCAAGGAAAGATACGTGCTAGAACCTGTGTATTCTCCTGAACACATCCTGCCTGGCCCTGCTAGGAGGTGCCTGAAGAGGGCCCTGCTTTCCTTCCTTTTCTGGCGGGCTTGCACATGCTCACAGCCAGCATGCATGCCTTCATTAGAACAGTCTCCTATGTGCACTCTTGGTGCATCTGAGGCCCCACAGGAGACTGTTCTAGTCATGCTGGACGTGCAGTACCTGCTCCTTTAATAAAGAAAGTGCTAGCCCCATCTCTGGGAGGATATGCACTTTGCAGTACATGCATGTTTGACATTTACTTCAAAAGGATGTAATAGCATGGGCTGGGGAGATGTTCCGTAGGTGAAGTGCTTACTGCACAAGCATGAAGACCTGAGTTTGGATCTCCAGCATGCATGTGAAAAAGGAAAAGCCACGCGTGCCAGTGTGTGCCTATAATTACAGCACTAGGGGAGTGGAGACAGGTGGATCCTCGGAGCTTGCTGGCTATCGAGTCGAACTAATCAACAGGCTCCAGGTTCAGTGAGAGACTCTTTCTCAAAGGTAAGGTGGAGATCAATAAGGGAAGACGCTCAGTACATGAGCGCATGCCCAAAAGGAAAAAGAGATGTGATCATGGGATAAAGGTATTGGTTGGACTTCCCTGAAGTATTTTGCTGCAGACATTTATAATTCATGTCCTAATTTTGCATACTAGGGATCTGAAAGTCTGTGTGTCCCAAACTGTAAGTTTGTGCTGATTTTAAACACTCAGATTTCAAAGAAAAATCTAAACATTTAAATATAGTGGCTAAGAATAGTGTAAAGTCTGGTCCATTTTCGAGTTGTGATATGAAATAGAAACAATATCTAGTTCTAATTACTGACCAAAAGTGGATTAGCCCTAAAGTTTACCAAACTGGCCATACAGATATTCAATGGTAATAATTTTTTTTCTTAAAAGTGGAGGAGGGAAACTGCTGATGAACAGGGTGTTTTTATCAAAATTTAGTTTCACCTTTTCAAAATTTGGATGGTTATCTGATTAATAAGACATTCCAACACTGGTTGTGGTCCATGTCAGTCAAGTATTTTGTAAGAGTTAGCACATTGCCATGTTAGATTTAAGACTCACCATAAGAAATCCAGGTGGTAGTCTTGTACACCTTTAATCCCAGCACTTGGAAGGCAGAGACAGGCAGATCTCTGTGAGTTCAAGGCCAGCTTGGTGTAGTGAGCAAGTTCTATGACAGGCTCCAAAGCTACACAGAGAAACCCTGTCTTGAAAAAAAAAAAACAAAAACAAAAAGATTCATGGTAACACAACACACACATACAAACACACACACACACACACACACACACACACACACACACACACACACGCACACACACAGTCTCCCTAGTATCAAAACAGTCCAATAGATTTCATTATTGAGATATCAAATGGTCTAGTTCCATAAGATTACAGGAATGAAGAAAATCAAGCAAACTTATTTCTGATGAATTAAAAAAAAACAGTATTCATTGAGTCATCACTGAAAGAGGGGGGCACTGCCCTGCTATTTAAAAGGCCAGGGGCTGAGGAGGTGAAGAAAAGAGGCCAAGAGTGTGCACAAGATAAATTATGCCATGGACAGAACTGACTTCACACTGAACCTTTCACTTGGCTTCTGAACACAGAGTAAAGGACAAGAAATGGAACCAACATTTTTCAGGTGAAGTGTTATGATCGGGGTAATATATGATCATGGTATCCAAAATAAACTGCTCAGTTACCACATTCACTCAAGTAGTTTTATTCAATCTTGATATAGCAAACATGCTTACCAAGTTCTAGATATTTTAAACATTGTATTTATAGCTAATTCTAATTTTATTTTTGGTTTGTGTTTCTGTAGCAAAGAGAATGGGGAAGATCTAAAATTACAATTTAGCATACATGTCACTGAGTGTTTTTCTACTTAATCTCCATAAACATATGCATCTACAAATACACTAAATATATTTTTTCACAAATTAGACATGATTAGCCAAGCTTGTAGTTCTATAACTTTGAAAGAAGAGGCAAGGAGATTAAGAGTTCAAGGTCATCCTCAGCTACAAAGTGAGGGAGACTTGAGACTTTTTTTTTCATTATAACTGACAGTTTGTTCTGTTTTGATGATGCTATAAGGTCTAGTTTGTTAGAATAAACAGCCCAAGATTCCTGGGAAACCGCATACAGATCTTGGAGTAAAATGAAATGAGGGATTTCAGAATCTCTGCAGGTGATTTTGGGTACTTCTGGCCCATGCCAATTGGCCATACTGAAAATACACTTGTATATGAAAATGCTTTTGCCTAAAATTGGTATTCTATGCTTGTTTTAGAAAAAAATATGTAGCACCATTCAGTGCCATCTCTTTTTTAAGATGAGATAGGCATTCCATCTCCCTGCCATGATGAAGGAGGGAGAATTCTTCAGAAGCGAGCTGGGAACGCTGTGCTCCTCTGTGCTGTTCTCACCACCAGTGCCTGTGGACAAAATCACCTCAGGCTTCAAACTTCAAATGTACTTCTCGTCCTAGGTAGTTTCTAATACATCAGTCACACCATCTAATCCCGGTTGTTACCACAGTTAGTCATGGTCTTAGGGTTTACTATTGCTGTGAAGAGACACCATGACCTCAGCAACTCTTTCAAAGAAAACATTGAATTGAGGGTGGCTCCTCACTTACACTTTCAGAGGTTCAAACCATTATGATCATGACAGGGAGCATGGTCGCATGCAGGCAGATGTGGTGCTGGAGCTGAGTGCTACATCTTGCAAGCAACAGGAAGTCAACTGTCATACTGAGTGAAATTTGAGAAAAAGCGCACCCCCACAGTGACACACTTCCTCCAGTAAGGCCACACCTCCTAATAGTGCCACTCCCTTTAGGGGCCATTTTCTTTCAAACAACTACAGTCACCCTACAGTTACTCAAATATTCTATGCAATTTCCATCTATTTAAAAAAGAGCTCAGTCTGTCTGCATTTGTCCACCTTGTTGTCTATATCAGTGGTTCCAAATGTTTAACATGCTACAGAATTGCCTGGAGACTTATTAAATGCAGGTCTGTGGATAGGCCCAAGAGCTCTCTTTTCTCATAACTCCTGGATACTAATTTCTGCTACAGTGGAACCCACTTTGGGAACTACTGCCTTAAAATAACATGGCCCCTGAAAGCACGTTTGTCCTATACCAGCCCCCACCACTATTATTAGTTCAGCAGAAACCATACACACAGATAGATGTCTTATTTTTTCATCCTTTCAATAGTCTCTTTTATTTCTGTTTCTATTGAGATCCATCAATGGCTTAAACTAGGCAACAGCACATACATCCAGTTCCTCATTAACAAAACTGTTTAATTACCTGCAGGCTCTACTTCACAACAAAAGAACAACTTTTAAGTTAAAACCTACCTTGGTGGTGATATCTTGTTTGTGCCTTAACAAATAAAGCTTGCCTGAATATCAGAGTGCAGAGCTAGCCACTAGTTAGCCACAGAGGTCAGGCACCTTTAACCCCAGCACTTGGAGGCAGAGACAGATGGATCTCTGTGAGTTCAAGGGCCCCCAGGGCTGCACAAGATTGATCCAGTCTGAAAGACAAACAGAGCTCACACCTTTGATCCCAGTACTAGGGAGATGGAGATAGGAGCACTATGGCTGGACTGAGAGAGGAATATCAGATGAGAGGAGACAGGAGCTCAGAGCATTCAGTCTGAGATTTCATAGAGACAGCATTCAGTCTGAGGATTTTTAGAGACAGGATCACCCATTCAGTCTGAGGATTTGGTAGAACTAAAAACTAGTGGCTGGCAGCTCTGCTTCTTTGATCTTTCAGCATTTACCCCTGTATCTTGCTCCCAGTTTTTATTATTAAGACCAATTAGAATTCATGGTACATCTGGCACACAATGTGGGGCACAAATTCAT